TTTGCGATTCAACCGCCGAAAATTTGGTGTTGACACGCTAAACAATTTCGAAAATGTAAACATTTTGTTAACTACCAACACAGCAAAATCAACGGCGACAAAATCAACTACAAAGCAATGCCAAGTGGGAGTTCCACTTTGGGGATATGCATATATTCATGCGCATACAAACATCAGTACGTATGTAGATTTTTGTAGGCATAAGAGAAAAGCTTATCAACATAATAGTCAAAATATTTATGTCTTAACAATTTGTTTGTATAAACATACACATACTCGTTTATGTGTATATATGTGTGTGTGAATGAATAAATAAATTTAGCATATGTGTTTCGAACAAATACACTTAAGGACACCAAAAGTTTGATATAAGACTTGCCTACACTATACTTATATGTACAATATGTATGTATGTATGTATATGTATACTTATGTTCATATATTTTTCGCCAAAATAACTTAGTGAAAAGTAAGTCAGCCGAGAATGAAAACGATAGCAGAAAATAAGGACTAAAGCGTCTGAAATTTTATAGAGTTGATGAAGAGCTGAAGGTGATGACTCAAGTGGTGGCATGGCATATGTAGCTGGGAGTGTGAGTGTTCGGAAACATAAAGTTGGCGTAAATGTGTAATTTTTCGCTACAATAAACAAAATTCCAGAGGATTGGTGTAACATAATATATAAAGATATGTTTATGTACATTTTTATATATTTTTTTGGTCCAACAGCGATGAAATGCCAAATACCAGACTTGCAGCAACTAATACCATTTGGAGTAAAATAGGGTGTAGTCCTGCTTCGGAGTATGCAGCAGTCGCAGTGCTGTACCCAATTTCTTCACTTGCGAACTTCTTGGAGATGTTAGCAACTCTTGTGCGAGATGCAGCAACCAAATCTGGTGTAACCTCAGGTCACGGCTAAATATAGGGAGCTTTAGTTGGGCTCCTTCGACAAAAAGGGATACTAGAGCTTTATTTTTGCAGCTTCTCTTTATCAGAGGTACGTCTGTGAGCTGGGTTGGTCTTCAGTCTAGCGGTTCGCTATATAAATGTGCCTCATAACTATACTTATTGGCGTACCGAAGCTGTGTGCTGCCCTTGGGATCTACCACGTAGAAACCCGTTGCATTGAAAAAATTAGCAATGCAATAGGTGAGGCACTGCCCTTTTTATGGCTAACAATACAAACGTATTAAGGTCTATTGTATAAGGGCATGTACTTGGAATGTTCGGTACCTTAATGGGGCGGGTGCCACTGCCCAGCTGGTTGATGACCTCATAAGACTAAAGGCTGGCATAACTGTTGTCCAAGAAGAATAATGGACGGAACGAGGTGGGAAGAGAGTTGATTCCTGAGATGTGCGCTGCACAATTTTGTTCCAGATTCATGCTATCAAGGAGACTCCGTCGTCGAGTTCAGACATTCACGTCGGTCGATGAAAGCCGCGCCACAATCTGTATAAAAGGAAAGTTCTTCAACAGATGATCGATAAGCGCCCACGTCCCAATGGAAGAGCATGTTGATATGACCAAGAATGTTTTCGATGAACGCCTCTGTCGCGGGCTGGGTTGGTCAAAGAAGAGGTATTTGTCTCTATGAGGAAACATTCCCAAATGAGTTAAGACTTATCGATTTCATCGGAATTAGAAATAAAAAAACAGGAAACGAAGTCCCGAAACCTGGTAGTCTACGGTTCAAAGAACTTGAAAGTAGATTGGGATAGATAAATGACATGCCTCAAGTGTTCTAGAGGCGCGTACTCAGCGAAAATATCCACTCACCTTTGTGCTGCAAAATATGCCCCTCAAAAATACAAGGAAGGTACGACGTCGGAGAGTTGCAATCACAACAAGTAACCTAATTGCTTGCGCTACTGATCTCTGTGATCACGTCAGCAATTCGCAGTCTATGATGAGATCGAAGAACAGTTCGTACCATAAAGATTGCCTAACGTAGTGAAGAGAAAAGGTACTGCCTACTACGCAACATCTTATGGGTGGGTTATATAACGAGAGTTGAAGAGAAAGAGAGACGCATTTGCTGACAGAGAAATAGAGTGTGTGATATCTGTGAGCATGAAGCAGAGAATTACTTGTATTGTCGGAATAGAGAAAGGTGCGTAAGGCAGTCTATGCCGCGATGAGTTGTGCGAGACATACGACGACTTTGACATAGTTCAATAAATTAAGAGAAAGCGCGACTATGATTACTAGATGATGTTTTACGAATAGACGAAATCAATCTAACTTTGAAAGTACTCGATGCACTACCCGCCTGTGGAAGCGATGAAGGAGGAGGACTTCGGACTTCTTTGGAAGCAATGATCAATTAAGTTGGATCCAGCTTCCCTTGTTGCCACCAAATGGCGAAAGGAAAAAAAATGAAATTTTGTTGATAGTTCGGCTATAATCACGGAAGCGGTGCCTGTGCCAATGATGATGAAGAAATGTGAAATGATACTAGTCCGCAAAAACCTGGTATAATTTTAGTTACTAGGATACTAGTATGACATCATCGCTTTTAGTTTCCCATACTAATTTAAACTTTCACAGCACCATAAAATTGTATCTTACTGTGTATTTGTGAGTCGATAACGTTTATTCTTCCTCAGTAAGAGTCAACGAACATATGGATTTAAATTCTGAGATTTCTGTCATACCGAGGCCAAGCCACCAGACATTTATTAGACAGGCGGTTCAGGGCGAGCAAACGTTTGTTAGCTTCTCACATGTCAGGTCTCTTTAAAGCGACAGTGTGAATTTGTGTGGAAATTATAAGTATTTTCTTTTATGTTTTCATTTTGTTGGAAATTTTAAAGTGGAAAGTTCGCTGGAGCTGCAAACGAACGAGTGAGCGAGATGAGAGCACACGAGCGCATGAACCAAAGGAGTTAAGGATGTATAAATATATCAGTATGTGCAGACAAATCCGTAGTTAGCTGCCAAGCTACATGGTGAAAAGTTCAAATAAATTCGAATAAGTATATATGTGTGTGTATGTGTGTATGTGTATCTGTGTGTGTGGGAGTATATGTCTGTGAAAGCACTCTATAGCGCAACTGTTCTGGAAAAGCCTGAGAGCACACTTTCTATAAATTCTGTCACTCATGTCATATCACTTGCATTCACTTACACACATGCATACACACGTACATCCACACAGTGTATAAATTTGGCTATTTTGGGGGGCGTGTGTGAGTGTATGCGTGTGTTTGTTAATACTACTATGTCGACACTTGCGTTCATTCAGCCATTTTCACTCACTACACTTCAGCTAAAAAATGATCAAAGAAAAAAAATTGAGAAAAAAAGTCGAAATTGTGCAACAAATCACTACGGAAGCAAAATCTTTTTCTTCTCCCTCTTTTCGCACCCTCAAATCCACAAGGCGAACATAGCAAAATGTCAGATATGCGAGAAAAGTTATTTTTAGCTAAATACACAAACGTATATACATACATACAGTAAAAAACATGAAGACTCTAATATATATATATACCAAAAGGTCACTAAAATATTTTAAAGTGCGACAGACCAGAAGATCACGCTCATATTTTTAATACATACACACATACATACATAATTTCAAATAGCAAGACACGCTCAATTTCAGTTTTCATAATTCCTTAACTTCGTAGTCAGAATTTAAAATAAAATTTTACAAGAAAATTCTTCAAATTTTTTAATTTATATTATATATGTATACCTCGGCCGCCGCAGTAGCCGAGTGGTTAGCAAGTCCCCAAGCGACCAACATCCAAAAGTTATGGAAAATTAAGTTAAACAAAAAATTAAGTTAAAGTTTCTAATTGCGGTCGCCCCTCGCCAGGGAATGTCTCCGAGAGGGGTCTCCGAGTGTACTTAGGACTCTTCAGACTCTTCGTAAAAAACCATCAGCCATTCGGAGGAGGTTTAGCATAAACTGTAGGTCCCTCCATTTGTTGGGAAAGCATCAAGACCAAAAAAAAAAAAACAACAACAAATCGGAGCATATATATAATCGGCGCTATATAGACCTCTGCATACGAATTGTAGCATGAAAACAGTTCTGTAAGGTTATTTCGTTTCGAAGATACATGAAATGTCGAAAATGTATATGGTTTTGAAAATGCTCGATTTTATACCTAAAATTTTGGTGTCAAAAGTGCAACTCAGTCTGGTCGGCCAGTCGCTCAAAAAGCCGATAGATTTTTGAAACTGGTGGAGTAAACCCGGCACTCAGCAAGCTGTCGAAATATAGCCGAAACATTCGGCTGCACTCAGTTGAAAGCTTGAAGTCATTTCTGAAAGGCTGGCAACCCTAAGAAGGTTGATGCCTGTGTGCCGTACTAACCTAACGTGAACAACATAACTGACGCCATTACCACCTGAGAAACGCTTCTGAAGCGACTCATAACGGGGGTTGAATAGAGCGCTAAATGCCAGAATTTATAATAAAAAACCAAGGGCAACGGCCGGTAACCTTTCTAAAATAAATTCATTAACTGAATTGTCGACAAACCAGGTGAGGTTGGTGAGTTTATAGTGAGTTTGGTATTAATTTGTCTATTATGAGATACTACAACCTGGCGAGACACTTAGTGCTGAACTTAACTGCCAAAAATTAACAAGCTCGCAACAAGCGCTTCGTCGAAGATTGATCAAAAGAAAAGGTGATCTGGTTCATCCTGATCACAACTGAACACATAGAAGGCAAAAGTCAATGGAGCTTGGTTGGGAAGGTTTGATACAACTACTATAGAGCATAGAACTTGTACCAACTGACAAGCATTTGTTTCGATATCCGTAAAAAGCTTTTGATGGTAAAAATTGGCATTTTGTCAAGTTCTTTGCCGAGAACCACAAAAGCTCCAAACTGATGGGATTATGAAGCTACCTGAAATATGTCAAAAGTGCACAGATAATAACAAACAATATGTACTCGAGTTAAATCAATTCTCAATACAGCATAATGAAATACTTTACACACACATCTACTCACCAACAATTAAATTATTTGCCTACGATCATTGATTTTGCCATTATGGATATTTAAATACTTTGCTTGTCTTTCCAAATGAGTTTTACCTGAAAAAAAATAGAAATTATATATATTTTAATATGTTTGCCTTAATAGATCGTTATAGTTCTTAATATTTTAAAATATAAACAATTTTGAGAGATTTTTGAAGATTGCATTACCTCTTTACTTCGTAGCAAATATTTATATATGGAATTGCTATGGAATTATGAGATTTGTACTGAGAAATGTTCAAAACCATTACGATTTGATAAAAAAAATGGTTTGGTATTGCTTTCTGCATTCCTCGTTTTATTGCTGAATTGAGAATGGTGCGCTATTTGTTTCTTCTTTGCAGCCGGTTATATCTCTACCTGATTTTTTTTTTACAAAGTAAGTGAGGTCAATCAGTATACGCTAATGTTGCATGCTCTCATAGAAAATTGTACTTTCTTTGTTTGGTTCTATAGCCGGTTTAATTTTTTCTATCATTAAGTTAAGGAATGCAAAAAGGAATTCTTTACTCATTGTTTTCCGTAGCTTTTGGCCTCACACCACTTTTTGCTGTTCCTAGTATTTAGGCGAGAGAGAATTAAGCGCGAGACTATTGGTGATTGAGAAGATTAATATCTACTAAAAAGGTTCAAAGACATATTGTATAATGAATATCGGAACTGCTAATGGAATTTGATAAGAAGCCGTCACAAGTGCACTCTAACTGTGCTGTGAGAGTCGCTGTTTTTCCTACATTTTAAATTCAACCGCCTCTGAGTGAATGATGAATTTTTATAAGGATTGTTTGTGTCATGTCGGGAATATACTGTGAGGGCTTGGCACTCGCTGTGGGTGGGGAGAGAGATGGCATATATACAAATTATTTATTTAGAAGTTTGAATGTGTCTTTGACTAGCGCTCGAGAACTGGTCTACTGAACGGAAATCCAAGCGCGAACCCCAAGATTAAAGCAAGGATATATCCCCTCACATATAATTAAAACTTCTCTGAAATTCTTTTGCGAACATCTTACAAAATATATATATTTTATTGTGCACATATGATATTTGCAGTCCAGCAGTTGAGTGTTAGCGTAGTGTATGAAATGGAAATTATTGCCGGGGCGACGAAGCTTGTCATGATATGGAATATTCCCTCAAGCCCGCTAGCTCTATGTACTCGTACATCCACCACTTCTACTTGAGTACGGTAAGATTTTCTTTTCGACTTCCTTCGGTTTTACTACTCAATTTCACCGCACCCAAAGACTTTGTTATTTAATATAAATTTACGAGGCACACCTGTTGTCTCAGCGCTTTATTAAAGTGGAGGTAAACAATTTATTGGTATGCAAAAGAGAAACGAAAAAAAAATAAGAAATAGCCAAAAGATAAGCAATGTTTTTGTTGCAGGCATAAAAAATTCTTTGCCACTGAAAGAAACTAAATATAATTTAAGTATGTGTATTTAGAGCAAGCAGCAATTATAGATAATTATGCAACGTTAACAAAAAAAGTTTAAATTCTTGTAAACATCAACATACGAGGTGTGTTCACAAATTAAGGAAAATTTTTATAATTCATGGACCCTACAGATCGGCAAAAAATGTATTTATTTTTATTGATGTGCATGCTCATGTAGTGTAAAACCACTTTCAGCAATTCTAATTGTTGACTGTTTCTGTTTCTGTGTTTTTATGGGTTCGGCGATCTTCGTTTGTTACGCCGAGAGGTAAAGGTGTTTCCCAGAAGGCCGTGAAGGTGCTGAAGATGACGTACGCCATGCAAGCAACGTCGAAAACGTGGAAAAAGTGAAAGAAGTTGTTATGAACGAATTGCACTTAGAGAAGTCGCTGATGATGTTGGCATATCGTTTGGATGATTACATAATATATTTTTCCAGTGTTTTGGGTAAGAAATGAGGGGGGAAAATTTTACTGAAGTATATAACCCAACTGGGTTATGGATATGACGTCAAAACTGAGTTTTAATTAATGAAGTGAAGGTCTTCAGGCCCATCAAAATGAAAGCTTTTGACAAGATCGAATATGAACTGTGTTTTGCAATTTCGATGGCGAAATCCTGCCACACATAATGAGGAGTACAATCGACAGTTTGATGTTGACAATGTGAAGCAAATCAAATGAAACGCCCGGACAAGATAAAACACACTGTTATTGATATCTACGCTAAATTTCATGTCAATGTCGGAACGAATTTTCGGCTGCTGAAACGTTGAGGATGCTACAGAAAGCCTTTAGCGACTCAACTATGTTGCAGAAGAATGCATATAAGTGGTACAATGGCTTCAAAGAGGGTCGGAAACGTTTTGATGACTTGGAGCACTCGGGACGACCATCAGTGTCAACTGAATACGTCAATGAAATAAAAGAAATCGTCGACTGACTGTTAGAGATCTTACTGATATGCTTGGAATATCAGAAGGATCTGTAAAAACGATTTTGAAAGACTATTTGGGCCTACGAAAAGTCAAATCTCGTTTGGTTTCAAAAACATTGAATTTCATGGAAAAAAGTCGTCTCGTTTATGTGTTTGAGACCATGCGTTTTGACTACCAGAACAAGCTGAAATGCATGATTATAGGAGAAATTCGCCGGACTTAGCACTATGTGACTTCTTAACGGACCACTTCGAGGACACCGTTTTGAGCCGATTGAGGAGATTAAATGTGAATTGGCGCGCTCTCTGAAGGCCATACCAGTATGGGACTATTTGATATGCTTCGCAGAGGATTATTTGGAAGGTGACGAAATGGACGTAGAAGAATAAAGAAAAAAGATTTTTACAAATTGAAATTCACTTCAATTTCTTTGGACTTAGCACCTTTTTCTATTTCCACAAACCGGCCATCGGTTTACAGCACGTGGCTGAAAGAAGCTATTCAAAAGTTCGACTTTGAGAAGTCCTTCGAGTTTTGGAAGATGCGCTTGAGCAAATACTCAGTCTGTAAGGAGTGCTTTTTTGAGTACGGAAATTTCAATGGTGTCAAATAAGTCTATACTTTGTTCAAAGGATAAAAGTCCTCTATATTTTTTCAACAAATCTCGTATATGCATAAAATAAAATACAAATTTTGGATGTTTGGAAAAATGTGGCAGCGCGTTACACATTTATACGTTTATGTTTTTTGTTTTAATCTCTTCACACATTTTTAGTGTTAATGAACGTAATGAAAAAAATTTTGACGAGTGTCTTCTGTTTAGAATTTCCAAAAAAAAAAAATTAAGAAAAACAGCATTTTTTTAAATTAAATTTGTATCACCAGGAACGCTTGAAATTTTAATATTTTCAAAAAAATTCCGTATGCTTTTCTTTTATTTATTTATTTTTTTTTTTGTTTCTTTTTTTTTTTGATTCACGAGAATAACATTCAACCCACACAAAAGTTTTTTGCAAATACTTCAAAGACTCAAGAAAATCATCTAAAAACGCGATTTACTGTATTACTGTAAATCTCAAGCATTGAGTGATAAGCAGGAGAGCAAAAGAAAAAGCTCAAGGCATGCGTGGGCGTGGGGTGGGAGGAAACGTGTGCTTGTAGCACTTGAAGTATCTTTAAGCCATAAAAGTATATGTATGTATGTAAGTGTTGGGTGCGAAAGCGTGCCGAATAAATGCGCAACATATAATACATATAAACACATACACGAAATGTGTATACGTGTATATGTACGTGTATATGCACGTATGTATGGCTAAATGATAGTGACAACAGTAATAAAAGCTTGTACTTGGCATTGCAAGCGAATTACGCGAATTACACACAAAGATAGGGCAATGCACATACAAATAAAATACATCCATTTATTGTTGTTATTGTTGTACATACTTTTATGTGAGATTTTATGCACAAATATATATATATATTTCTTTATTTTAGTTTCTACTGTACACTTGCGGTAGCTCCCTCTCATGCTGAATATGAATGTGAGTAGCTGCATAAAACAAATTGCCACCAGCGGAACGTGACATTTGTTGCAGTCGCTATAAAGTAGTGTAGTTGTTTTGCTAAGAAATGTGCAAGAAATGTAAGAGAAAGAATAATAATAAGGAGTTAGGAAAACGCGTTGGTGACAAATGTCAGAAGAGAAGTAAAAAAGTATAAAGAATGCATGGGTGAGGTTGAAAGCAAGCAGCAAAGACTTAACAAGACAAGACATGCTGACATGATTGTAGAAGCTAATCCTATGCTGACTGAGCGTAGGGATTAGTTTGGATTAGTTGGCGGAAGGAATGATGTGCGGAGTTGCAATTGTCTGCTATAAATTGGTATCTTAGTTATTTTTACATTGGTATGCTTGGATGTATGGGATTTTTTTTGACGTACATACATACAAACGCACATAATTTTTTCGCTGAAAACAAAACAACAAAGGCGTAACTAATGGTATAAAGCATTCTGGGATTATTTTTTACTAATTATTAAAATGTTTTTTTAACTCATACTTCGTACTTTTTTCATTTTCTATTGATTCTTTTTTTCTTCAAATTTTCAATCGAATTGTATTAAAACTACACAAAAGTGGTAAAGTCATTCTAGGATTTTGGAAAACGGATTTTTTTTATGCTCATAGGGTACCTTTGGGGCCTAGAAATGAAGTTGAATTGGTTTCAAAGTGAAAAAAAAAATATTTCAAATAGCTGAATTTTTATTTTTTTGATTTTCTGCAGCCACTCAGAGCGCGCGATGTGTAGAATGAAAACTTTAAACACATTATTCTCAAAATCACATTTTTCAAATCTGAAATTTTTATTGTAGCTTCACAAATACATTTTTCTTTAGCAGCTCGTAGCTGTTTTTCGCTTAAATGTAGATTTTTTTTATATAATTTAGTGCGTATTTTATAGTCAAAAATTAAACTTTTTTTAAAAAAAGTGTGCCGCTTTCACATAAATTAGTTAGAACATAAGTCCGTACGTACTTCCAAAGACCATAGTTTGCAGATCATTAAACTTTTGGATTTTCTGTTCCAGGTCTCATACTTTTGAAGAACTCGGTCCTGCCATAAAAGTCTTTAAAAAAAAAAAATATCAATTATTAAAAAAAAAAAATT